TGTAAGCCTTGACGAAAACCCGCTTGACTGGTGGAAAGCGAATGAGCATCGCTATCCCGTCGTCGCTAAGATGGCTCGGGACTATCTCGCTATACCGGGCTCCAGTGTGCCCAGCGAGCAGCTATTTTCTCAGTATGTCTTTTTATTAACTTTGATACCGCTTGTCTGACTAGATTGCGCTCGGCAGAGCAGGAGATGTAATAACAAAGAAGCGAAACCGGCTTCTTGAAGAATCCAGCAGTGCGGTTCTACTGGTCAAAAGTTGGCTCAATCAAAAGACCGTCGACGACAGGGAACTCTACGGCCTAGATCAGAACCTTGCCCCACCCGGGGATGCTGCAGAGAGCGACAGAGACATGGAGGTGGAGCGACAGGCATTGGGTGAGGGGATGGGTGAGGGGATGGATGCGCAGCAAGAAGAAGGCTTCGACTTCGATTCGGGATCAGATCTGACGGACATAGAGTGATGTGTCGAAGGATGGTCACGCGAGGTTGGATCTGTACATAGCGAAACCAGAACCAGAATCTGACACTGACATTGATCCTCGTATACCCGGGCCGGCTCGCGCAGCAAAAATTAGTATGGCGGCTCGAGCTTTGGCTCGAGCTTTGCAGGCTCGGCTCGGCTCCACGAGCCTGGCACTCGGTCGAGCCGAGCCAGCTCGAACGCACCCCTTGGCTCGACTCGAGCCAGCTCGTGTCCATCACTAAAAATGTCTCAGCCCATCGGTCTAAACTATTAGTGGCATTATCTTGGTTATCTCGACCTTCAGAGATGTGATCTGTCAGCTTTGGCATCTCTCAAAATCCTCGGTGATTGGTGAAGCTTGTCCTTGCAGCGTTAGCTGCTGACGATTCCTGCCATTTTCGCCTTTTGCTTTCACCTTTTGCGTTCCCTTTTGGGTGGGCGGACAGCCTGTGCGATTAGAGTGCGACCTGACTCTTCCCCCGCGTCGAACACTCTCCGTCTCTCTGGTCAGCAAATAACTAAACAGGCCCGTACATCCCTAATATATAAAACTAGGGGCTCAGCATGCAGCAAGATACGAACCTCCAACCTACCGGAGTACAGAGAACGACGGACAAGTGGGGTAGCTGAGATGCATTTGATATAAGATAGCTGCGAAGAAGCAGACTCTTCATTTTGCCCGCCGTTTCCCCGATCATCAAGACCAGTCCTCTTAGTCATCGTCCATCACTCTCCCTCAAAGCCTGTCATCGGCCACAATGTCATTCGCCCCAAAAAACACACCAGCACCAGAGGCACCAACAGCGGCACAAATCGTGCACTGGTGGAAGCGTCTAATTGCCAGCGATCTGAAGGGTCTCAGCCGCTTCTATGGTAGTGGCGCAGATTTATTTCACAGTGCAGTCTGCTAAGGCCGCTGAAATGGCCAAAAGATGGTTGCAAACGAGAAACTGTGCTGCACTTGACACTGCTCGCTCTATACGAGCTTGTAGCGCTGGTTGGTACGTGCGGTTGCCCTCTCTCCGACCCGAATATAGCATCAACGGTTAACATTCGTGTGACCCATCCCCTCATTCTTGATGCTAACTGATCAGTACTAGTATGAGGATGGGGGAGAGAATTGACATCGTCAAAAAGACTCTCCATAAGGTTGCTGGAGTCTATCAGCTAGCCTCGGAGAAGGACAACGGTGGCATTGTTTTCTCAACTCCAAAGGATATAAAAATGTCACAGCCAGAAGAGTGCCACGAATAATCGATCAGCCCGGTTTCAGGGGCGTGGCAAGGATTGGAACTGAATCACAATACCGAATCTTGAAGCCGTTCGCCGACCCTGTCGAAATGAGAAGACTGCTTCTGGTGATGATTTTCACGGACGGCGCGGTAGGACGCTGCGTTCCTGAGTGAAATGAAACCTCGCTCATCTGAAGAACAGATCGAGGGTGAGCGGAAAGGCCTACCCACCGATGTCATTACGAAAAAGGCGAGGGACATCGAAAAGTAACATGGACCTGATGGTGTGAAAGGTCAGTTAATTAGAGTTGCTGCCTCAAAACCTTTACCCCGTAGCTAAACCCCTACCCAGCGACATCATATCAGTTTGTAGCGTTTGAAAACGATGAAGGAGCAAAGAGAATGCTCGAGGGTCTGGCCGACAGCCAGCATCCCGGTGATTACGTTGGATGTCTGTGTAAGTTATAATCTGTAGTCAGCTAGTGGGGTTTCGAGATACAGAACATTGATTGAACTCTTCATTCTAGTTAACGACGAGCTCGAGATTATGCTTGAACATCAGAGGTCCGATTGGAACATTGTAAGCTAACTTATCGCCTTTTTGTTGCGGTCTAGAAGTAAAACTACAAGTACAAGCTGACATCACACCCCTTCCAAAAGCTCTCAAGACTTTTAGTTGGCTCTAGTTTTGGAGATGTACTATGGCGGCCGAGTGCCAAGTCAAAAAAAATCTGATTGGCTGCAGCGTTGCAAAAAGCAGGGAAGAGAAATAAATTCAATATTAAGCCATTAGAATTGTCCTTAACCTCGCATATAACTGCGTAACCGCGGGCTAGCTGTTTTGCCGGAGGGTCGTGGTATTATCAGAGGTGAAGAAACGCCGCCAGGCATCGCACTCCCGCTGCGCTACGTGGGTCCGCATGGCCGCACAATGCCAAGTCGCAAACACCTTTCTGCCCCACACCCAGCGGGGTCAGTTCCTAGTCACAGACAGTGCAACAAAGCATTCCCATCACGGAATTATCATTTTATTCACTTCGTTACTTGCGGCGTTGCTTTGGCCAATCAGAATTTTTTTGACTTGGCACTCGGCCGCCATAGTAAGTGCTCTCCAACTATCCAAGCGAAAGAATAAGGCTGTTCTATCCCGCCGACTATGTTTTTCCGAGATTCGTCAGACGAGTGTGGGAATGAGTTCTCGGCAGCCGGGCCAGCCAAGGAGTTGAGGCCCCGGATAGTGAGTGACGTGCTGTGGTGTTGTGGTAGTCTGCTTGCAAAGAGATCAAAAGTCTGTTTACGAGCTGCGAAAGTGTTTGTTTGCAAATTGTCCCTGATACCGGGTGGATCGATGTGACGGGTAGCATTATAACTAAGGCTGCCCTCTATCATAGCACATTCACCTTATCTCCATCACCGCCACCTCCTCTCCGTGTAGCGCCACCACCGATCAACGGTCTCTTTCCTCCTTTCCTTTGTGTACCGCTGCAGTGCGTACTGCGACATACTCCACGCGCGGAGAACGTGGGATATGTGTGTATATGTAATCACGTTGATCACTACCAGCACTGGTACTTATTTATGTACAGGGAAGTAGCTGCTGGGCGGAGCGCTCTAGAATGCTCATATTTACGTTCTCTGCTTGCTGCCCGGCGATTCTGCGTTTTTATCATGGATGAGGGTTCGCTCTGTCCCCTTGTTTGCGCAGTGCATCTGTATAAAAGCAGACTGTAGCAGGATCCAGACAGTGAACATCTCTCCCGGACGCGTCGTCTTCCTCTTTCACAATTTTTTGATTTTTTTTATATCCCTCTCTCAAGCGCTGCAAGGTGTTGTAGCGAGCGTTGAGGTTGGCATAACATCGCCGGGTGTTACGTTCTTTCGACCTGTTTGTCACCGCCATTTTGGCACCGAGCAAGAACCTGTCACCGGCGGATCCTGTCACTGAGTCTCCAAAACCACTGTCCCCTTCCTACAAGCTGCCTAAAAACCGGCGCAGTCCGCTTGAAATCAGAGCCCGCCAGAACTAGAACCGGTAGCTGCATTGTCAGTCATCGCCAGACTCCAAGTCTTCCATCGCTCTCTCAGCGTCACTCCATAGCTGTCACTTTGAACGCTGTATCCCACAAAAAACACCACCACAAAAAAAGTTTGTACCAACCTCAAGGCTGGCGTAGCTTAAGTCTCAGCCCAGTCACTTACGCAATCGAACGGACCTCTACAGACGGACATTTAGGGAGGGTGCGTTCGGTAGGCCGGATTTCCACAGAACTGAGTGGAAATCCATTATTGCTAGTGCTAGAGAAAGTCGACCCTGTTCGGTAGGCAGATTACCAGGAAAATTCCGTGGTGCCAGAGAATTCACCTCCGCACCAAATTCTGCGAAGCCACCCTTCCACGGATTCAGAACCCTAACAATGGCCGACCCTCCAACTAACAGCCTCATCACTGCCATCCGCTCGTAGCTCTCGCATCCCCTACCAAACTGATTCAGGATGGAATCAGGAGACCAGTGGTTTCCAGGCCCTGGGCAGAAATCTCACATTCGCGAAACGTGAACTACAATTCCACCGCCGAATGCTACCTTAAAACGTATGCTTGAGCCTTGCTTGCTTGCTTTATGCCAGGGCCTAACTACTGGTCGGCGGCAAAAGTACTATACACCGAAAACTTACCACCGCTTTCGGAGCCCGAAACAAAAATCCCCGTTAAATCTCGACGAGTTTTAGAGCAATTCGATCGACCAAAGACATATTAAGCCCAGCCAACAATACGCAGCCTTGAACGCAGCGAAAACTTGCAAAAGAAACCGATTGAGGGCACACCTCCCCAGGAAAGGCGCACAGCTCGCACCTAGAAGAAGCAAGGCATGAAAACTTATCGCCGCCATTTTGTTCAATGCGCAGCTTCATGATCTTTGGAAGAATTGCGATCTGAGAGCATTGATCTCTTCAATAGTGATCTTATCCCCCTCCCTCCCTCCCTGAGAACAGTCTTCATCTCGTCGACGGCAAAAGTATCGAAAGCGCTGGTAACCCAAAGCTGCTGCTCTTGCCTCTCTTCTGTAGCTCGGAATGGGCCATTGACTCCAGGTTGCTTGTAGGGGGGCGACTGAATTCTCTCTCAGCGGGTCCGGATTTTTCAGCGTTCCAATACTTTTGACCAAAAGAGAACAAAAAATAACTGACTTCAGCCAGGCTCGATCTGGCGACCTCTCGTGTGTGAGACGAGTGTGATAACCAACTACACCATGAAGCCGGATACATTTTTTTTAGGGCACTTTTGACTCAGAACGCATCCAGATTCCCTTTCTCACCGTACAATCCTCTCAAAGAAACCAGAAGCAGCTCAACTCAACTCAGTTCAACGTAATTCGATTTGAATTTGCCATACTTTAAATGGTACACCGCCTCCCATCAGGAAGCGCACATCATTATCATAATCCCCTCCCATCCGACCGAGCATATCCCCTATCCCATCCCAAAGAAAAAGAAGGAAAAACACGCAAAAAAAACAACGGAGAAAAATGTGAATTAGAGACAAAACAGAAAAGCCCATGTAAATTTTTTTCATCTAGTAATCCGACGACTCCGGGTGCGCAACCCAGTTCTCGACGTTGTCATCGATAGAGGTCCAGTCAGAGCCGCTGGTCGTCCTGCTCTCCAGCGCCGCAAAGTTGTTGCTGACTTTAGTAGCCTTGGGCTTAGGCACGACGGGGGCGGGCCTGGTGAACTCGGGGGCAGGGGCGACGGGCTTGGGCTTTGGGGCGGCCTCGCGTTCGTCACTGCTCTTAGGAGCATCGGAATCATCGGCTTTACGGTCCTTACGTCCCTTCTTGCTCTTGACTTCGTTCCATTCCGGCTCGGGAACCTGAAGGCCGCGGGGGATAGACTCCCAGGAGTCGCCGAGGGTGGTGGAGGCAGTAATCGTCTCATCGGCGGAATCTGCGGGCGTGAAGATGTCCAGAAGGACGGGCTCGGAGACAGGAGTGACAGCGGGGGCGGGAGACTTCTTGCCTGAGGCGCCGACCTGGGTCCAGGCGGAAGTGTCAGGAGCGGGAGAAGCGGCAGGACGAGTTTGCTGCTGCTTGGCCTCCTCAGCTCTCATAGCCTTGCGGTGCTGCTCGAAGCGGGCTTGCTGCTCGGCGCGCTCCTCGGCACGCTCGGCCTTCTTTTTCTCCTTCTTCTTTGCGTTCTTTGTCGCGTGAACTCCAGGCTCGCTGCTGGCAGTGCTCTTCTTGGACTTCTGACCGCGCGGAGGCTGAACAGGAGCACCGATGCGGAGGACGCCGGGTCCGCCAGTAGAGGCTTCCAACATGTCGCTGGGATCAGAACTGGAGCCCTTGACGGCGGTGAACTCCTCATCGTCGATGTCGCCGTCTGCGCCGGTGGAGGAGGTCTGGCTGGCGGCGTAGTTACGCGAGGCGCCGGGCTTCAGCGAGGAGGCTCCGAGTCCCTGCGCCTTCATCCGTCGCGCCGCGTCGCGCAGATCAATTTCTTCCGCAACATCATCATCATCGCTCTGGGTGTTGGCGCTCTCCGTTTCCTTGGGCACCACTGGCACCTCCTTCGCAGTAGTCGACTTCTTCGTCTTCTTCCTAGCCTTCTTTTTGATTTCGCCCGCAGCGTCGGTGCCACTCCCCCCTGCGTTGACAAATAGCGCTTTGGGCTTCTCCTTGTCTTGTAGTGGATCCTGTTTCTTCGGTACCGTCTTCTTGTTGCGCTGGTTCAGGTACCACACTGCTGCGGCCACGCAGAGGAAGACCGCCCACGACACTAACGGTCCCATCGCCATTGAACTTTGCGACACCCTCTCCCGAATGTTGTCGAGGCCGTGCTGAGTGTTACGCGTGATGTCGCCGCGAGCTGCGAGAGGGGTTAGTTCACGTCCGTGGTTGCGGCGAGAAAATCGAGTTTTGGGTGTGGGTATACCTAGAACGGCAACCCCTTTTCAGCTTCTTCGAAGAAAATCGAGCCCGAGTCGGGTTGACGGAGGAGCTGTCAATGGTGGTAACCGGCGAGAAAGAAGTTGTTGCGGACGGGATAAACGGCTGAAGGGAGAGGTGACAGTAGGGAGAAAAGCAGGGGGCGGCGACGTGAAGAAGAATAGAAAGGTGTCAGAAGTTGAATGGGAGGGGGAGGATGGAGTGGGTGATGAGGATGGAATGCAACACGGAGAAGAAGGGGAGACGAAGCGTGTTCTCGCAACTGCTTGCGGTACCGTGTCTTCTTTGGCAGCTTGGCCCTCGCTCCCTGCCTGCAACTGCTGCGACTCAGTTGCTCTGCTTCTGCCTCAAGGGACACGCAAAAGGAAGCAAAGCAAGCAGCTTTGGCCCGTGCTAGCCGCTTCCTGATTGGCTCCACACCTCTCCCGTTGAGGCCACGCAACAAAAGCACTTTTACTTTGCTCTTTCGGCCCATATCGAGAAGTCTGACAGCGGCTGCGAAAGGGGAGGAAAGCAAGCCCTCCACGGCGACGAATAGGACGAATAGGAGCTTGGTTGCACCGCAGAATGAGATGCTACGATGTGTGGCAAACGCCGGATCCATCGCCATCGATTTGTCTGCGTGTTGCAATCCCGTCCGGCCGCGAGATGAACAGCAGCTGTCCGTTGCCCGGAGATCTCTCACGTGGGTGCGGCTTCGGAGACCAAGTCAGCCATGTCGTGATGCGGGTCGGCTTGGCTCATGGATTGTCATCATGAGATCTGGCATTATATAATATGCAAAGCTGCAGACCCTCACATCAAGGACGATAGACTCGAGTCATTCACATGGCTCTCCACTCGTCTCTGCAGAGCCCCACTGTATGATCTATATATATCAGACCAAAGAGGCAACCTTCAACGGTGCAACCTACACAGCCTATCGATATCCACTTGAGCAGGTATGAGCATTACGTGTGAATGGATTGAACCGAATGGGTAACGATAAGGCGATGGATATATACCGTGACTGGTGATGCAGAATCATGACTGAGATGTGTAAGTACAATCGACTCTCTATAAGAATAGGCTCCGGACCGGAGATGCGCAGTCTTATAGCGAATCCTTATGTCGGGTGTGGCTTGGCATGGGTGATCGCCGATGATGCTCCGATCCGGCAGAATCTTCGACTACCGTAAAAACTCACTTATAAGAGACCCCTCCAGATTTGGTTAGCGGCACAGAATTGCCTTATAGGGAATTTAATGTCTCCAAAAGGAAGTCAGTAAAAACAAGAACCCTCCTTGGTAAGCTCAAAAGTTTCCCTATAAGGCAATTATTTGTCGCTAACCAAATCTGGAGGGGTCCCTTATAAGTGAGTTTTTACGGTATCACCGTCGATCTCACCTAGGTTTTGTCCGGCAAGAGATAAAAATGAGAAAGGTCAGGCGCCACAGTCACGGTTGTAAATTTTTTGCCGTGCTCCCTTGCAAATACCTCCTAAACAATCTACTTTTTATAAACCTAACCATACAAATTTCTCTCACATCCTCAGAATATTCTTATAGAAAAATTATTCTTATTTCCCATACATTGTCGGTGGGACCGCCAGAACTTAGTCGTATAAAGCGGTTATTCTTACACAGGGTATTCTTACAACGAGAGTCGACTGTACATAGACACTCTAGAGCCAGCAGCGTGCATTGCTGATCATGTTGTACACTGTCGTTCTATGCAGACAGGTATTGATGGCAACGGTAGAGTACACCATTGCTGATCTCCTTGGCTGGGATTCGTTGGGAACAAAGGCCGAGAAAAGCGACATATTTCCAGAAGAATTGCAACGGGATGAGTCGGCATTGGATGTGACTCTATTGTTTTACCGTAAGCGATGATGATAATAGGATGAGATGTTGTTTATTTCTCCCGCTTGTCAAGAAAGGGAGCACCGAGTGCTCCTCGATGACTCGCGCGTGGATTGCAGGGTTGATTCCATTTCCAGCTTAGCTCAATGCCGCGACAAAGGCCACACCAAACCCAATCAGCCTGGTAGCGCCACGTTCGCCAGGTCGAGCCACGGCTTCATTCAACCTCTCCTCCTCATCCCCTCAGAAACATCCAAAGCACTCCCGACAAGCTTCATTGACCCTATCGACAGCATCGATACAGCTCCTAACTTCTTTTCCCGGCAAACAAAAGAGCCTCTCGAAGCGAACCAGGGCTCTCGTCCATCACTCACTGCTGAACCGTCGCCAAACAGACACGGCCCGCGCTCCCGTCTGTCGTTCGTTACTAGGGCGACAGCTACTGTTTGTGTCGACCCCCGTTACCGAGCACAAAACAATAAACATCTCTCAAGGATCAGATGGCATCGCACCTGTTTGGGTTTGTAAAGTGTTCTTTCAATTCCATCCAATTGCCCACACCTCCCCACCACACTCTCCCCCCCCCCCTTTTCGCCTCGCCGCACCACCAGAGTCCGGATCGACTGCAACCCCCCGACCCCCCCGACCCCGACATTTCGCCTACCCCTCTCCACCAGCCCCTTTGACCGAAACGGATCATGAACTCGATTAACGCTATGCTTAGTCGTTTCCGAAAACCCAACAAGCAGCAGCCGGCGTCGTTGCCGCAGTCCTCCGGCGGCAGCGGAGGAAGTGGTACTGGAGGTAGCGGATTCAACGGAGCAGCAGTCCCCGGAGGACCCCCGACCGGCGGTCTCATGCCGAACTCCCCTACCGGACCGCGAGTCGCCGCGAAGCCGCTTTTCCTCTGCAAGCCCTTCGTCACTAGTCAGCTGGTCAAGGGAAGTTTCAGCACGATCGTTGTCCTTCCCAAGTATGTCGATCAGGGCGAGTGGCTGGCCCTCAACGGTACGTGAACACTCAATTCGTCGAGCAATGGAACATTCTCTTACAGGCTTGTTTGCACAGTGTTCGAGTTCTTTGACATGTTGAATCGCTTCTATGGTGTCATCAACGAGTTCTGTACTCCCAGGAACTGCCCCTCCATGTCGGCTGGCCCCGGGTAAGTTCTCCGAATATTCTCCACGGCTAAGAACTATAACTGATGGCTCCCCAGTCTCGACTACACCTGGCTTGACGCCAACAAGAAGCCGATGCGCCTCCCCGCTCCCACCTACATCGAATACGTTCTCCAATGGATCAATAACAGAATCAATGACGAGACAATATTCCCCACCAAGGCGAGTGGTACAACCACTGCGACCACTGCCACTCCCTCCGCCATGGTTCCCGGTAGTAATACCCGCAGCCTCTCTGGCGGCGGAGAGACTTGGGTTGGTAAAGAAGGCGGCTTCCCTCAGTCGTTTGAG